TAGGCTCCTAGAAATCATGTGGCCAAGTGCTGGGCTTTGAGTGCCTGTGGTGCTGCTGCTTCCTATCAGCGCTGTGCTCCTCTTTACATTAAAGCTGTTTCCTTCCTTCTGGGAAATGGAGGGCTCTCGAGATCCCTCGGTACCAGGGTCCCTTTCAGAAGCCTCTTCCCAAGGATCTGCCTTCTGTTTCTTCACCTTGCCCTTGGGAGCTCCTATTCTCCGCAGCAGCGGTAGCTGCACATCACGCATTCCCGTGGCTCTCGGGGGCACAGGGTGGCATTGCCGCTGCTTTAAACACCCTCCTTAGGAATGCCTTTGGAAAGGGGACCCGGGCCCCTGCTCCGGTGTCCCTGTGGGCAGTGTGATGCCAGCAGAGCCGTGATCACAGCCCTGGGCACGGCTGGCTCCTTCCGGCCTTGTTCTGGGCCAGGAAGAGGGATAAATCCGTGGGTCACAGGGGGAACATCCCAGTGTCTCCTGTTAGAGAAGGAGACGTCCCCTGGCTCCTCCTGGCCGCGGCAGGGAGAGCGAATCCAGGCTTCCCATGAGCGCTGGAGTGCGCGGCAGCAACGGGAGCGCTGTGTGGGCTGGGCACAGGGGGAAAGCTCTAATTAAAGCGAAGAGAAGGGAAAGGAGGGATGAAAATAGCAATTAAGAAGGCAGCAGCAGACCCTACATTGCGAGGGTGGGGATGGCAGCGTTGCACATCCCTGAGCTCATCCCGCGGGATGGTGCTGGGAGAGCCTTGGTGGGACTTGGTCTCTCCTGTCTCAGGGATCTGCTCCCATAAGGTGGATCCTCCTTCCAGGCAGCAGTAAAGGAGGGGCAGGTGCTGACAGCCTCACCCCCAGGTTAAACGCTCCTGAGACAGAAAACAAGAGGCTTTGTGCTATGGGGAATGACTTTTGTTGGCAGTCAGAGCCTGGCACCCTCTCCTCTGCCTCTCGCAGCCAACTGGGAATGCTGGCTGCCAGCTGCAGGGATGGCAGGGGATGTCTGTGTGTAGGGAATGTCCTCAGCAGGATCCATGAACTCTCTCTGGGTTGTGCTTCTCTATTCAGGACCCTCTGCTTGGACTGTGGCAGTGAATTGCAAGGAAAGGCAAGGACCAGGCTGGCTTTTGCTGGGAATGACCTGTGTTGATGCTGCAGTGCTGGGAGCTTGGTGTACACAGCTTGGTGTGAAGGACATGCCCACTGGGTGATAAAAGGGTGAAAGGAGAAAGTGAGTAATGGGAAGGGGAAGAGAATGGCAAAATACCAGGAGGCTGATGAGCATTGCTGAGCTGCCAAGTGCTGCTGCTGCCCTCTCAATCCCAGCACAGCTCCTTGCTCCCAAGCATCACATTGCTCATGGTCTAGCTCTGTCCTACAGCGCTGCCATCGTGGGACACACGCCCTGAGCGACCATAAAGCAAGTCTCAATAACTTAGATAGCTGCCATAGCACATGGAATAGCAAAGGGAGCGTCTTGTCCTGGAGCCAAGTGCTGGGCTCCAGGGACAAACTCAGCGCTTTGGCTGAGCTGTTTCCTGCTGCTGCCCTTAATGGTGCAGAGCAGCAGTGGTGGCATCTTCAGGGATCCTGGAGGGGGTGAATGTGCCATAGGAACACTGTCGTGAGCACCTCCAGGGTGGCCCAGTGCAGCAGACACTGGGAGCGCTGAGCTCCCAGCAGGACTGGGCTGTAGCTGCTGTCTGAGGGCATTGTTCTTGCAGGCAAAGCCTGGACCCCAGGTTAGCATCAGCTGAGGAAGAAGTGCCCAGTGTTTGCAATAATGAGCATCATTTTAATGCCTCCCTCGCTGCCCTGATCTCACCAAGAGCCGGGAAGGGAAGAGCCAAGGGATTGCTGCTGACTGCTCCGCACTGGGCTGTGGGCACAAAGAGAGGCAAAATACACAAAGGCAGAACAAACCTCCTTTGTGTGCTCCTGTTACTGGGCTCATTGTCAGCACCGGGACAAGTGAGAGGAGAGATGTGCATCTACCAGAGCAGCTTTCCTTCGCGCTCAGCCGTGCATCGAGCACAGCTTAGGACATCTCCAAAGGCTGGCCTGGCAGGAAGGTTTCCATAGCATTCACCATTCCCAGGTGATCCTCATGTCTGCTTGAGGCTGAGATCTGGATGTGCTCCAAGGCTTGGCGCAACCTGGTGTAGCCGTGGCAGGGGTTGGGACTGGGTGAGCTTTAAGCTCCGTTCCAACCCAAACCATTCCATGCTTGTCTCTTAACAACCTTCCAAGGGGTAGTTGCAATGCTGCAGGTGAGGGTTGGGAGCCCGGCAGTGCTGGGTGCTGTCCCCCCTGAACCAGCTCTCCCAGCCGAGGGCAACACCAGCAAGCTGGAGGGGAGGAAGGATGTGTCATCATCCCTGATTTATGGCTGGGAAAACCGAGGGATGCGGGAGCCGGGGGGGAAGCCAGGCTCCTGCCCGCTGCAGTCCCTGCCCTGAGGTCTTGCTGCTTGCTGCATGGCTCCTGTACGTTAATAGGAATTGACTGCCCTCACTTCCTGCAGGGTCCTGACCTCCTGGCAGGGGCTTTGCTCACCCACAGGAGGGAAATGTGAGGCTCAGAGCTGAGCCTAATGTGCAGATGTGGAGGGAGGAGAGAGCTGGCCTGGCTCTGCCCGCATCCCTCACCGTCTGCTGAGAGTAAGTGCTGCAGACTGCTGTGTGATGAGCACATCGCTGCCCATCCCGGAGCCTGTGCAGGATGGGGGCCCTGCTCTGCAGCCGTGCTGCTCCTTGCTGCATCTCTGTCCATCGGAACCAACCTACCCGAGCGCTCAGAGTGTGCTCTGCAGATCTGAGCTGGGCAGGGACCAGCTGGGAGCGTGGTACCCAGGGAGGATTCCATCCCGACAGCTGGGCAGCCGTGGAGGCGCTCACTCGGTGGCCAGGGGCTCACATCCCTCCCTGCTCTCCTGCCCTTGCCCTGCCGGGATTCCCAGCTGCTGCCCAGCCCCTGGTCTATGTGAGAGTCATCCCCAGAGCGCTGGAATTCCCTCTGGCTTCCCAGAGCAGCCTCAGACCTCTCCCCATCCCCTCCATGCCCATGCCCAGGACACGGCTCTGGCCCCACTGGGACAGTTTGGGGCATTGAGGAGCCAAGTTCTGCACAGGAGGATGCTCCAGGGATGGGGCAGCCACAGCTTCTCTGGGCACCCTGTGCCAGCGCCTCAGCACCCTCACAGGGAAGAGCTTCTGCCTAGGAGCTCAGCTCAGTCTCCCCTCGGGCAGGTTCAAGCCATTCCCCTTGGCCTGTCCCTACATCCCTTGCCCAAAGCCCCCCTCCAGGTTGCCTGTAACCCTTTAGGGGGTCTCCAGCCTTGCGGTGTGAGGAGGGGCCTGGTTCATCTGGAGCTGCGACTCCTTCCTTATGTAGCCCCATAGCCACACACGGCGATGCTCGAGGGCTCCCCGAGCAGGATCCATCCTTCCTGTGCCGCCCGCAGGAGTGAATCCGTGCTGCCTCATAGCCGGGAGCGGGAGCTGCAGCTGCTGAATAGGGCTGTTCATTTGCCTTGTAAACACAACTGCGAAGCTCTCGGTTTAAAACAAGCATCCCAGGCCCTCCAAGCCTCCCACCCTTTCAGCTGGGGAACGGGGGCAGGAGTCTCCTGTAATGGGAAGGGGAAAAATGGAGCCACTTACCGTCTGTGAAAAGCAATGAAGTGGTGACTGCTTGAAAGCCTTTCCGAGCCCCTGCAATGTGCTGAGGGAGAAGGGGGCAGCTTCAGACACTGATGATGCTTTGTCTGTGCCTCAGATACCTGCCTCTTGAGTTCCACAGCAGAGAGCAGCGGGCTTTGCTGTACGAATGCAAGAGGGATTCGTGTGGGTATTCCCAGCCCGAATGCCTCTGGGAACAGTTTGCTGTGAAACAGGGAATGTGGTTATTGCCGGTGCAGCAACTGCAGCTTCAAACGCGGTGTTTAAGGAATCGTTAACATCTTGTCTTGGGCATGTGATGGGTTTTCCTGATGGGATTCAGCTTTGGGTTCTTTGAAGTGCTTCAGCCAAGTATTTACTCTGACTGTATTACAGCAAGTGCAGATCGTTCCCACTCTGGCTTCAATCCCCGGGCCTTGGCCAAATCCCAACCAGAGTGATTTCATTTTTGCCTACCGGTGCCTAAATTCCCTGTTGCCACCTCAGACTGCTGCTTCCCTTCGTGTCCTGCCATGCAGCGTCGTGTTCCTGCAGGTTGTTAAGCAGCCAGCTTCTTCCATCCTGGATGACTACTGCTGAGGGCTTGCTGCGATTCCCTTCGAGGTCCCGCAGCAAGGAAAACCAAGTGATGGCACTGCTTCCCTTTGCAAGTGTCACTTTCTCTTGGGAGGTCAATCAATGCCTCCATTTACTACACCAAATGTGGGGGGAACAAGAGGCAGCCACAAGCAAGTCTTCCTTTGAAATCCACACTGTGGGAGAGGGCTGGGATGCTCCCTTCAGCTGTTAAAGGGATGCACCCAAGGAGACAATGAGTGTGAAGCGGGTTTGGGATCCATCCTGGATACTCTCTTTTCCCCACTGTTCAGGGTGCACAGCTTTGCTGAACCTCTCCCTTCCTCTCTGAGCTGTGATGTAAGCACCTTGAGGGACTGGCGAGGGGGATCTCATGCAGCTCACTCTTCTCTGCCTGTTGCAGGTGAAGGCAGGCTGGTATCTTCAGGGGGATTTGAAGTCAGGTCATTGCAGCGCTTGCTGCTGTGAGTGTCCTTGCACTGTGTTATGGACATGGGCAAAAGCCTCTCAGGATGCTACCAGAGTGCAGAGATGGGTGGAAACGTGCTTATGCTCTCTTCTGAAAGAGCAGGCACTGGGGACTTACCTGAGCATTAATGCAGAAAGTGGCTTTTGTTTGAGTCCCTGGTGTACCTGCTGGGAGCATCAGGGGTTTTACTCTTTAGACTTTATCCTTGGCCATGAGGAAAGCACCAGCACGGAGACTTTGTTAATGCTTAATGCACTGGTGCCAGCATCTTTGTTTCTGTAGTGCCCAGGAGACATTGCAATGTCTGAAGCCTCAAGTGGATGTGTCTAGCATCCTCCTGCCTCTCTTTGCAACTGAAAGCAGCCTCCAGCCTCCCTTCCCACCCCCGGGCAGACACCCCAGCCCTCATTCCAGGTACACAAGCTTTGCTGGTGAGCCCTTTTGCAGCATTAAAGGTGGGAGATGAATGGGGATGGTTGAGGGATGCGAGTCCCAGGATTCAGGTGAATCCCCGGGATCCTCGGGGGATTGCACCCACAGCAGGGTGCCGTGCCTCACAGCAGAGCCTGGCAGACACCCAAACAGAGTGGTTTTATTGCTGACAGATAATCTTTTAAGCTTTCAGATGCAGGCATGTCAAGCCAAGTGTTCCCGTTGCCCTGGCGACGCGATGCAGCAGCTCCCCGATGCTGTGTCTGAGCGCATCAGTCTGGAATGCGATCACTTTGTGCTGATAAGCCCAGGAGCAGCAGAGACAGGGAATTAGGCTGCTGGGCTGTAGCAGGAGCACCAGGAGCAGGGGGTGACCTGCTCCAGGAGGAGCTGCAGGGTGTGTGTAGGAAAGGACCAATCTTGTGTAGCTTTTGGTGCTGGTTTGGTACCCAGGGATGATGTGAGGCGCTGGCACAGGGTGCCCGGAGAAGCTGTGGCTGCCCCATCCCTGGCAGTGCTCAAGGCCAGGTGGGACACAGGGGCTTGGAGCAAGCTGCTCCAGTGGAAGGGGTCCGTGGAGCTGGAGGAGCTTTAAGGTCTCTTCAACCCAAACCAGGCTGGGATTCTGTGACTTTCCCCTTAAGATCCGCCCTGGGCCAGTGGCTGAGAGGAGCATTAAAGGAGCCCAGTGGTGTGAGTGGAAATCCCCTGCCAGACAGGTTAGAGGATTGGGGCAATCAAGGCTGGTGGAGGAGCATCCCTGTGCTCATCGGATTGGGAAGGGGAGGGGGGGGGCAGACCCAAACCTTCTAGGACTGGAAGGGGCAGAGCCGTGGCTCTTTGGCTCAGACAGGCCTGGCAGGAGCCACAGCAGGAAAGGCAAAGCCATGAGTGGCTCCCTCAGCCTGCTCCCATGGCTGCTCAGCTCCGCGCCCTTTGCCGTGTGTCCCCGGGGGGGTTCTTCCTTTAAGGGTTTTATTGCTTTAATCACATCCTTGGCTGAGGCCTTCCTAAAGCCTCTACAGGATGAGTCATTCGGGACCCTGAGAGCCGGAAGCATCTCTCCCCTTGCTGTGGCTCTCAGGGACTGTTCGCTCTGCACTGTTTTCCTTCTGTTTCTGCCCTGCTTTTTCCTTGTTTCCTGGAGTTTCCGAGGATGCTGTAAGGCGCAGCTGCATTGCTGCAGGTGGTGCAGGGTGCAGAGCCCTGCTCTGGGCTCAGCCCCGGTGTCCAGCTCCAGGCTCTCACCCCGCTCTGTCCCGTTCTCCGCAGGGCTCCGCCGCCCCTCGCAGCACGAGCCACCATGAACAAGATGAAGAACTTCAAGCGGAGGTTTTCGCTCTCGGTTCCCCGCACTGAGACCATCGAGGAGTCGCTGACGGAGTTCACGGAGCAGTTCAACCAGCTCCACAACCAGAGGAATGAAGGTGAGGAGCCGCCGGGCTGGAGCATCTGGGGTCAGTGCTGCCTGCCTGCAACCAGCTCCACTCCAGCCCTCAGGCCTTTCGCTGGGTGTGTGGAAAGTTACAGCCCCCGTGTCTGTGTTGTTTTCCCCGTATCCAGCAGGATTAATAACACCGAGTCATTAAATCTGATCTGCAGAGAGATTTATACTTGCATAAGGAAAGCCTTATTAGGAGGGGAAGGTGTTTGCACAAAATGGAGCGGAATGACACATCCGTGGTTAAGGTGGAGAGTGGGAAAGTGTGGGATCTCCTCCTGCCTGCCCAGAATGAAGGTGGTTGAGCCCTCCAGGCTGATACCTCCACCAAGAGCAGGGGAGCATCAGGGGCTCCATCCCTGATGCTCCAGGGAACCAGCCCTGGCTCCTGGACCCCACTGCTCCTCGGGTGCAGGGAGGTTTAGGGTTAACACCTCCATCAGCAGAACAGAGCACATCCTGCTGCAAACAGCAGCCTCCTGCAGGCTGGGGCAGGCTCTGCTGTCTCCTGTGGGCACATCAAGGGAGAGGCGATGCTGGAGGCACAGACTGGAGTGCATCGAGCCGAGGTGGCTGTGCATGGGCAAGCAGGCAGAGCACTGACAGCCCTTTGGGAACCCGGTTCTTCCAGGGGGAGGTTTGGTGCTGCAGGAGCAAGGCTGGAGCGCTCCTGGCCATCACGTCATGCGCCTGCTGCTGCCTCCTCCCCACACAGCGCACTCATGTCGGTGCCCTCAGCATCACTCGGGTCACGTTCAAGCTCTTCTTCCCCTCACCCTGCAGCCACAAGTGCTGGAAGCTTTGGCTGCAAGCAGGGGCTGAGGCCCTGATGTAAGTGCCTGGCACTGGCAGGGAGGGCTTGTGCTCTGCCAGCAAACCTGCTTGAAAGGAGAGATGAGGCAACCTCATTTAGGGCTGGCTTCCCTCACTCCTGCAGCTCCCGATGCTCCTCTTTATCCCTCCAGGCTGCCCTGAACAGCATCCCTTCATCCTGCCCTGAACAGCATCCCTTCATCCTGCCCTGAGCAGCATCCCTTCATCCTGCCCTGAGCAGCATCCCTTCATCCTGCCCTGAGCAGCATCCCTTCATCCTGCCCTGCTCCGACCCATGCACGCCTCCCCTCACACCCTAGCAATCTGTCAGGGCTATAATTAGACTTGAGCCCTTAATTAGATGTGCAGAAGCTGTGGGGATAACGTGGTGCAAGGCTAAGGCCTGGGTGCTTGGGGAACCTCTGCTCTGGGATGGCTGAGCCTGGGCTCCTTGTCTCTGCTGTGCAAACCCAGGGGTGGAGAGGAGACTTCTCTGCTCTTCTGCTTTCATGAGGTGTTTGTTGGTCACGGTTCTTCCTGTGCCCTGATCTGCCTGCAGGGCTGCTGGATCAGAGGCACAGCTGCAGATAGCACTTTTCAGGGCAGGCTGCGTCTTTGACCAAGGTTTTGGGCTTGTTTACCTGTGGGAACCAGCACAACTTCACCCAGACTCAGTTAAAGTGGATTGGTTGAACTCTCTTCACTCGGGTTTTCAGTGGCCTTTGGGTCTTTTCCAGGTAATTTGCTTAGGAAGTGAGCAAGTTAAAAAGATTGGATCCACTTTCGTTGATCCACATTAATTTCATACCTGCGATCAATTCCGGGTAAGCTTCCAAACCCTTCCTGCCCAAACAGATGGTGAGCAAGGGGCAGGGAGCAGAGGGGGCACTCTGTGCCTTGCTGCTTCCTGTGTGCCCAGCACCTCCTGCAGTGATTCAGGTGCTCCCGAGCCCTGTGGCTTGGGCTGGTCCCATCCCTTCGGTGCGGGCTGTCTGTGCAGGACACCCTGCATGGCTGGGTCCCCTGGTCCCGCAGTGACCGTGGCACCGGCGCACGTCTCTTCCCAGGTCACTTGCCTGCCACCTCTCATCCATCAGCTGAGCAAACGGCAGCCAGGTCCCAGCCCTGCTCACTGCCCCGTGAAAAGCAGCCTCCAGCAATGAGCTCATCCCTGGCTGCCTCAGCACATGCGTTAGGCAGGGCAGGGGAGTGTGTCTGTGCAGCCCAGGGGGAGGGCTTGGCGAGGGGCAGGGTCCCAAGCTCAAACTGGAGCATCACAAGGAGCCTGGAGAGGGGCTGTGGACAAGGGCCTCATTTCTTGCTCTCTTGAGGGTGTCTTGGGCTCATTGAGGCTTCACGCCCGGGGTCCATGGGGAAGAGCTGTTTCTCTGAGCTGCTTTGGTTCCCAAGAGGGCTTTTGTGCCCTCGGGGTTGGGGCAGGAAAGCCTCGAGTGTTTCCCCAGAGGCAGGGCTCTCTTTCTGGGATGCTTTCATACAGACCTAGCACAGAGCTAGGGAGCGGTTCCAAAGTGCAGGTCGTGGTTTGTCTAATGTGATGGTAGTGAAGGTAATAGGAGGTTCAGATGACCCCTGCGATGATGCTGCAGCAGTGCTGCCTGGTGGCTTGAGCACTGGGCTGGGACATGGGACATCTGCGTGGCCTTGGGTATGAAGCGGTTCCTGTCTCTGCACCCTCCTCCCTGTCTGCCAAAAGGGGCCCTCATTGCAAGGGGCTGCATGAGGGATGCTGCTGAGCGGAGCTGTGTGCGTGGTGATGCTCAGGAGGCTGCAGCAAAGAGAGGCATTCCCTGTGCCTCCTGGGTACGGAGAAGGAAGGAGGCTTTCCCGTGGCCTCAGAGCATCCCTGCCTGCTCTCTCTCTTCTCCAAAGCAGTGCCTTGGGCCTTGGCCCTTCTGCTCACTCTCCTCTCTCTTTGTCCCCAGACCTGGGTCAAGGGCACCTGCAGCTGGGACACCTTGGCCGGGACTTGCGAGCAGACACCAGCCCCATCTCCCCATCCGAGGGGGAAGGCCAGACCCCGATGGCCGTGCGCTACCGCAACAGCGCCCAGCGCCGCTTCTCCATGGAGGCAGGTTCTGCTGCGGGATGGGGCGGGCAGGAGGGATGCAGCAGGTCCTGTTTGTCACCTACCTGCTGGCGGGAAGAGATGGGGCTTGACCCGTGGGGACCTGAGCCCTGGCGTCCTCTTGGATGCACTGGGCATGATTCCCATGGTACCTGGCAAAGCCCAGTGCACATCCCTGTGCACACCTCCCCTTCCCCTTTTCATTTGTCTGAGGGTCCCACAGATGCTGCCCCCATTGCTAAGACCAGCTCTGTTTAGAGAGCATTTCTGCCTGCATCACCAAATGGTTTGGGTTGAAGGGATCTTACAGCTCCTGCAGCTCCAACCCCTGCCACGGGCAGGGACCCCTTCCACTGGAGCAGCTTGCTCCAAGCCCCTGTGTCCAACCTGGCCTTGAGCACTGCCAGGGATGGGGCAGCCACAGCTTCTCTGGGCACCCTGTGCCAGCGCCTCAGCACCCTCACAGGGAAGAGCATCCCAGTCCAGTGCTGTCATCAGGTGCGTTCATGCCCTGCTGCTCCGTGCCCCCCTGCAGGATGTCAGCAAGCGCCTCTCCCTGCCCATGGACATCCGCCTGCCCCCCGAGTTCCTGCAGAAGCTGCAGATGGAGAGCCCGGAGTTCCCCAAGCCCCTCAGCAGGATGTCCCGGCGGGCTTCCCTCGTAAGTGTCACCGTGCGGGGCTGCACGCACACAGCCCCGGCCAGCCGGGTGCCCCCAACCCACACAGTGCCGCACTGTGCAAGCTCCCCGTGCCTTGGACACACACACACACAGCCCTGCCCATGCAAACCCCTTTCCACACACATTCCCCCACCGTGCACACGTGCATCTCTGCTGTGCACAGCCCTTCACTCACCTCTGCACTTGCCTCTTGGCCTGGCTTCTTCCAGATGGGACGAGGTGGAAAACCTCCAGTGCTGGAGCGCTGCTGCTTGAAATGCAGATGCTGGTAAATAATGAATTAGCCTTTGCATTAGTGTTGGCATCTTGGTTTCTTCACTGCAGAGCATCAGCACATGGAGGAGTAAAACCCTGGTGCCCTATTTACAACAGTGCAGGCTCGTGTCCTGCTGCCCAGGGGTGCTCAGTGCTGTGCAGAGACAACAGCGAGGTCTCAGCAGGCCTGTTCGGATCTGACATGCGCTTTCAGGGGAGGGAGGAGGAAAGGAGAGCTCCCATTTACCTGCCTGTTCTGTCTGATCAATAGATCAGACACAGCCAATGTGCCATCAATATTCACGGTCCCCTCCATGAATGAGGCATGGTCCTGCAATACTCATGGCTGTGGGGTGTGTGCAGCACCTCTGGTTGCAGCAGCCACCCAGTTCCCTGCTCAGGACGCGGCTGTTGCAGGGGGTTTGGGGAAGCCAACGTGGAATAAAGAGATGCGCTCTGTTCCCCTGGGATTTGCTGCTCCAGATGCAGCCTGTGTGAGCAGGGAAGCAGCATCCCTGCTGCGTGAGCAGCTTGTGAGAGCTCTGTGGTCTGGGCAGTGCCTGTGGCAAGGAAAAGCCCTCCCATGGGGCAGAGCTGGGGAACAGGGGATGCTGTGAGAGCATCCAACCCCTGGGGCTGCAGGCAGGGCCCTGGGCACAGTGCAGGGGCTCCTTCAGTGCCTCCCTTCCCTGCAGAGTGACTGCTGTCCATCCAGCTCCATCTGGTGATGGTGAAAGGCATGGCAGTGATGTGCCTTGGGAGCCATCCCCTCCCCGGCACACAGGGGTTGGAACCGGATGATGTTAAGGCCCTTTCCAGCCCCCACCATTCCATGACTTTATGTTCCAGACTAACCAAAGAGGTGTCTCTGTTCCCACAGAAAGCAGCAAGGAGCAACACCTAAACCTGGGGCCTTGCAGCGTTGCCCTCTCACTGGGAGCAGGTCTCAGCAATGCACGAGTTACTGTTCCCAATGGGGAAATGTCCTTTCCACGCTCCATTTCCCCAGCACACAATGAGCAGAGTCCTGGTAAAGACCAGGGTGTAGGAACGCACTCGAGGAAAGGCTGGTGGTGTGGCAGGGAGGTGGCTGGGAGGAGAAGGGAGCTGCAGGGGGAAGGGGCAGGCGTGCAGCCTGATGCTGGTGCATCCGTCATCCCTCCTGTGATGTTTTCCTTTCTCTCTTACAGTCAGATATTGGGTTTGGGAAGCTGGAAACCTACGTTAAACTGGACAAACTGGGAGAGGTGAGTAGAGCATGAAAGCCCTGTGTGGATTTGAATTAAGTTAGAAGGGCAGATTGTAGCCGAATTCCTTCAATACCCTAGCAATTCGCAGTATGCTAGAGATTGGAAGGGACCTCAGAAGCTCATCCAGTCCAATCCCCCTGCAGAGCAGGAACACCTAGATAAGGTTACACAGGAACGTGTCCAGGCGGGTTTTGAATGTCTCCAGAGAAGGAGCCTCCACAGCCTCCCTGGGCAGCCTGGTCCAGTGTTCTGTCACTTCACTGAGAAGAAGTTTAAGTGGAACCTCTTGTGTTCCAGTTTGTACCCATTGCCCCTTGTCCTATCATTGTTTGCCACTGAGAAGAGCCTGGCTCCATCCTCGGGACACTCCCCCTTTATATATTTATATACACTAATAAGGTCACCCCTCAATCTCCTCTTCTCCAGACTATAGAGACCCAGCTCCCTCAGTCTTTCCTCATAAGGGAGATGCTCCACTCCCTTCATCATCTCAGTTGCCCTGCGCTGGACTCTCTCCAGCAGGTCCCTGTCCTTCTGGAACTGAGGGACCCAGAACTGGACACACTATTCCAGATGCGATCTCACCTTGTTCCTAGAACAAGTCTTTCTGTGGCCTTCCGACTTGGCCCCGTTGCTCCAAGCCATCCTCCCTCCAAGTGTCACAGAGCACACCAGTGTTGTGCCATTGGTCAGTGGTCTGCAGGGCTTGTGCTTTCTCTCTCCCCACGCAGGGCACTTACGCCACTGTCTTCAAGGGGCGCAGCAAGCTGACCGAGAACCTCGTTGCCCTGAAGGAGATCCGCTTGGAGCACGAGGAAGGGGCACCGTGCACGGCCATACGGGAAGGTGAGGCCAGGAGGGGCTTTCCCCATCACAGGGAGCAATGCTGGGTCGCGGATGGCTTTGGGATGGGTGCTGTGGGGTGACCGCTGCAGTGACCCAGGGCCCACTGCCCCATCCTGCCACGTCCTCTCCCTGCAGTGTCACTGCTGAAGAACCTGAAGCACGCCAACATCGTCACCCTGCACGACATCATCCACACGGAGCGGTCCCTCACCCTCGTCTTCGAGTACCTGGTGGGTCTGGGAGGGTTGTGTGGGAATGGGGGGGATGGATGTGGGCAGGAGGGGCTGACGCGTGCCTCCCGTTGCAGGACAACGACCTCAAGCAGTACCTCGATAACTGCGGGAACCTGATGAGCGTGCACAACGTGAAGGTAGGATGGGGATGAAGGGAGCTCAGCTGAGCGTGGTGCATGGGGCTGGGTGAGGCTGGACCCCCCCTCTCTCTGCGCTTCATTCTGGTTATGGTGATGCTCCTCCAGCATCGCTCCAGTCACTGCACTGTGCGTGCAGACGTTGTTCCTCCCCTGATGACGGGCCTGAACACTTGTCTGTAGCGCATCCCACCCCAGGCCAGCTTCGAGGGGGCTTTCCTCCCACGAGCAGACTCACTTTGGTGCCCGTGTCACCATGCTAAACGCAACCCCTTCTCCTCCCCACAGATCTTCATGTTCCAGCTGCTGCGGGGTCTGGCTTATTGTCATGGCAGGAAGATCCTGCACCGAGACCTCAAACCCCAGAACCTGCTCATCAACGAGAGAGGGGAGCTCAAGCTGGCTGACTTTGGTGAGTGGAGCTCGCTGGGGAGGGTGCAGCATTGCCAAGAGGTGCAGCTCCTCAATGCCCGTCCCTTTCGTCCTCAGGACTAGCCAGAGCCAAGTCAGTCCCTACGAAGACGTATTCCAATGAGGTGGTCACACTGTGGTACCGGCCCCCTGATGTCCTGCTGGGATCTACCGAGTATTCCACACCCATCGACATGTGGTGAGCTCCAGCCCCAGTTCCCTGAGCCCTCTGAGCTGCTGGGTTGGGCATTTCCACCTCAGCACTGTACATGCCCAGCACTGGTTACACCGCAGGGTGCTGGGATCAATCTGGTTCCGTGTCCCCTGGGCTCAGCTCTTTGGAGCCCCATCGGGGTGAATGGTTTCCTGTAGCAGAGAGGGGACGCAGCTCCTGGAGCTCTTTTCCCTCTCCCGGAACCTCGGCCAAGGGGTAGGGGCTGGCCCCAGGGCTTCTCCATCCCTCATGCCAGGGTCTCTGCTGCCGCTTTAGGGGCGTTGGGTGCATCCACTACGAGATGGTCACCGGGCGGCCGCTGTTCCCCGGCTCCACGGTGAAGGAGGAGCTGCACCTCATCTTCAGGCTGCTGGGTGAGGCTCGCCTTGTGCTGTACCCGCAGCGGCCACGCGAGGGCAGTGCGGGCCCGCGGGAGCCACGGCCGAGCGCAGCCCGGTGCGGGCCGGGCAGCAGGGGCAGAGCGCGGTCCGCACGGACCGGGTGCGGGGGGCGCAGGCGGGGGGGTCCTGCCTCTCTCTGCCGTGCATGAGGCTCTGCTCTCTGCACCGCGTCAACGTGGCCCGTTCCCCTCTCTTCCCTCCCCAGGAACTCCAACGGAAGAGACCTGGCCCGGGATAACGTCCAATGAGGAGTTCAAGGCTTACAATTTCACACAGTACCGAGCGCAGCCGCTAATAAATCACGCCCCAAGGTACCTCCCTGAGCAGGGACATGGGGGGCACGAGGCGGGGTTGTGCTGGTTGGGGGGACCGGTTTCATTTGCTGCTTGTGGTGGTGGCAGCTTCTAATGCAGCTGGGCATGGAGGGCCCGGTGCCACTTGTCCCTTGCAGTGACCACTGCAGTGTCTCCTGGGTGCAGTAATGCTCCGTTCTTTATTTCCTCCTTCTCTCAGGCTGGACTCGGAAGGCATTGACTTGCTGATGAACCTGCTTCTGGTGAGTGGTAGAGCACCCCATGTGGATGGCAAAGGGATTCTGGAGCCAGGCAGAAGAGCTGTGCATGCAGAATAAGCCATGGCTCTACAGCTATAGCCTTGTATAAGGCTATAGCCTATTACCTTAACGGGAGGCTATAACCACCTCCCATTAAGGACGGAGAACCAGCCTTTACACTGTGTCCTCCAACACGAGTGCGAGCACACAAACCCGATGCTCCATAAGGTACAACAGGAGCAGTGCCCCCTGTGCTCACACAGCTCGTGCCATGCCCTGTGCCCGTACAAACAGCACTGGGAGCTGCCTCCCTGGTGCGCGCAGTGCTGGGACCCGCAGCCACCCGCATGCATCTTGCTTGGGCACCCCCTGCGCGTGTGCGTGCCTGGGGGCAGCCCCGGTGTGTAACCGCCTCTCCCTGTGTGCAGTACAAAGCCAAGGGCCGGATCTCGGCGGAGGCAGCCCTGCGGCACCCGTACTTCAGGAGCCTGGGGGAGCGGGTGCACCTCCTGCCCGACAGTAAGTGCCCGTGGAGCCGGGGGCAGCGTGGGGGCTGCGGGAGCAGGGGGCAGTTGGGTGGGATGGGAGCGTTGGGCGCGAGGTGCAGGGCACCGGGGCACCGCTGTCCCTCTTGGACTGACCCCCCTCTCTCTGCCCCCCCCGCCAGATGCCTCCATCTTCTCCCTGAAGGAGATCCAGCTTCAGAAGGACCCTGGCTACCGAGGCTCAGCCTTTCAGCAGTCAGGTAGGAGTGGGGAGAAGCGCTCTGACCCCATGTGGTGCCATGGGTGCGAAGCGCTCTGACCCCATGTGGTGCCATGGGTGCGAAGCGCTCTGACCCCATGTGGTGCCATGGGTGCGAAGCGCTCTGACCCCATGTGGTGCCATGGGTGCGCTGGGGTTGATCTCAGTGGGTCCCACATAGGAAAAAGCCAAACCTCCCCCTGCTTCCTGCTTTAGTCCATAAATCACCCCTGGGGCATCCTTGCTTGTCATTTACCACGGCACCGAAGTCACATCCCTGTGGCCTGAGACGCTGCTCCCTCCTCCAGGACCGATGTGGGCTCGTAACCTCCTCTGCAAAGTGCTGCTCCCCAGCTGACCCCCCTGACCCATCTTTCTCTCTCTTCCTCAGCCCGAGGGAAGAACAGGAGGCAGAGTATATTTTAAACTTGGATCCCGTGTTCCCTCGTCACCATGGAGATCAGAGCACTGAGAAAGGAGACGGCAGCTCCCACCCGACCCACCGCACAGTTACTGACTCCAGCAGGACCATGCTGAAGCGCCCTTGGCCTTAGGCTCTCCCCTGCCTGTCCCCACCACCACAGCCCCTAATAGTTGCTGTTGAGGAACCTGTTGCCTTTCTCCCCTCTTGTTGTCATGTTACCCCCATCAGACGTGACCTGCACGTGAAGCACAAAACCCAGGGCAGCCCTCCCTGGTTTGCCCTTGCCTCTCTAAAATCCCTTTTTCCCTCTCCATCTTTTGTACCCGAATCCCGACGAGGATGGAGGGGCCTTCCCACTGCTTCCCCCAGCATCTCCCCCTCCTTGCCTCCATTGTGTTCCCAAAGTCAGTCAGCTGGATGCTCCCTAAGGATGTCCTGAGCTGTGAGAGCAAGGCCTGGCTTATCCTGCCTGGGGAGCAGATACCTGGTGGTGGGGCTGTGCAGAAGTGGAGCCTGATGTTGGCTCTGTGCTGCCTCCAAGGCCTTCATCCAGCCCTTCCCAAGCACCGACGGAGCGGCCCCTTCCTCCTCTGGGATCCTGCTGCCCCAGCACCCTCTGTGCCAGCGTCCCGAGGGGCAGGACACGGCTCCCAGCCAGCATCTCCCCCCGTGCTGAGCATCCTCTGCACAGCAGCGTGTTGCACACACCCACCCCAGTGCAGCTCTACCCAGAGGAAGGGGGGAGAGGTGCCAACCCTCCCACAGCTCAGCTGTGGGTACCAGAAATAGACCCGCGGAGAAGCAAATCCTCCCTCAAACCTCTCTGCCTGGCCTCTGTGTTTGCAGCCAGCACCAGATCGTACCAGCCCTGACTCAGACCGATGCTGTGTGAGCGGGATGTGCGCTTAGGTATGGTATGAACGGGCTTTGCTGGCTGAGGACTGCTCCTGGTGTGTTTTGCCCTCGGTACTTCGGAACGTGCCAAATCCATCCAAGCGAAGCGGCCCCTGCTGCACCTCTCCCCCACAGCCCGCAAACAGCATCAAACGTCTGCCAGTGCGTGAGCGTTGTCTCCCTGCTGTGTAACATCCACATCCCTGCTCTGGCTGGCTCCGCTCACTGGGCCTCTCGCCCACCTCCATCCTCCAGCCATGGATGTGGACAGGACACCGGGGACTTGGCGGGTGCTGTGACCATCACCTGGTGCTGGGACTGGCAGGACACGCCGATGCCTTCATCCCTCACGCTCTCCCTGCCCTGTTCCCAGGGGGTGAGGGCCGGTTTCTGCTCTGCTCCGTGTCGTTTGCTCTGTGATCCTTGGAAAATGCAAAGTGTGAGGATAAACGTGGAGACCCTGGAGGTCCCCAAAGCTTCTGGGGTGACTCCTCCCTGTGCCAGTGCTTGCTGCACCCTCTGAGCCCCCCCCAGTCCAACCAGAGCTGTTCGCTCGGGTTTGTCCTAGACAAGCATCCAGACGTCTGCATTGTTTGAGGTTTGCCCATCCCTGCTCCGCTCTCTCGCTGTGTCCGGCACAGAGCAGGCTGAATAGTTCATTAATTGTTTCCAGTTGATAGGGAAGAGCGTGAGCAGCCACCAGTGACGCATTCACCCCCATGGCAGGGGACTGAGTGCCTGGTGCCTGCCCCGGGCTCCTGCTCCATGGGGCTTTGCAGCGGGGAGGTTCACAAAGGGAGGAGGAAGCCTCAGCGCTCCCGTTGTCCTCTGTTCCTTCACAAAGGCGTTTGACACAGGCATTTCCTTGGCGTGGCAGGGCTCTGTGGTGCAGACGCGCTCTTCCCAGGGCAGCTCCCAGCAGGAAGGAGCTCAGCAGACAGGCTCATGGATGCAGCATCCTCTGCGCAGGTCCATGGGGGAAGAGTGGTGTGCCCAGGGGATACAGCCCCGCTGTGCTCGGTGAGCACCGATCAGAGCAGGGGAGCAGGAGCCCCCTCCACACACCCTGGAGAAGCTCGGAAGCTCATCCTCGATGTCTGACCTGGCTCTGGGGGGGTTTCTTGCTTGGCATTGCCGTCCCCATGCACGGAGGTTGCCTCTTGCTGGGGCTGGCACAGGGGGAGGATGGGGGCACAGCACAGCACAGCACAGCACAGCACAGCACCACCCGGTGCAGGCTCAGCTCTAACCCAGAGAGGGACATTCCTTCTGAAGGTCAGGGTCACCTCCAGAGGGGAAGCCCTAGCAATGGCCATGCAGACAGAGCTGCCTTGCCCGGGGTCAGATAGCAAAGACAAGCCTCTCAGCTGCTGTTTGTTCTCCATAGCCTTTGCCTTTCCCCATACAAATCCTCCTTAAAGGAAACGCTAATATTTATTAGCCCTGTGAGCTCCTGACAGCCCAAATACAAGATAACCCCTTTTGTTCCACCGCACTCAGTGGTGTTTGGTTCCTGTGTGTCAATATTTGGTGTCCCGCCGAGCAAGAGTTGAGCTCCCAAGCTCCTGTCGCTGCTGCCCTTGCTGGTGCAGGTCCCCTGAGGCCCATGGGTCTGACAGGGATGGTGAGGATGGCATCTCTTGGACTAAGGAAATGAGAACCCCCTGTGCTGGACACTACAGCTGCCTGACAGGAGGATGGAGCCAGGAGGGGGCTGGGCTCTGCTCCCAAGGAACAAGGGATGGGGCAAGAGGAACCGGCCTCAAGCTGCACCAGGGCAGGTTTAGATGGAGCTGAGGAACAATTCCTGCCCCAGAGGGTGCTCAGGCATTGGAACAGGCTGCCCAGGGCAGGGCTGCAGGCACCGGCCCTGGGAGTGCTCACACACCCTCAGTGCCATGGGTTAGGGGTGGCCTTGGCACTGCTGGGGAATGACTGCACTGGATGATCCTAAAGGGCTTTTCCAACCCGTTTGGTTCTGGGATGCCTCCATCTAAGAACCCCTGAGCTCTGCTCCCGCTGCTTGCAAGGGGAGGAAACATGTGGTGGGGCTGCGATGGCTTCGCTCCCTGTCTGGTCCAGCAGCTCATCCCGGGCAGGCTTTCCCCAGCTGGCTGCTTGCAGCAGCATTAATGAAGATGCTGGGAATGGCTGTGGCTTCTTTCATTCCATGGGTTCTCCCATCCTGGAGCTTGGACAAAAGAAAACTGTTCTTTTGTCTTTCCAGACAGTTTTCTTGCAAATATGGGGTTTGGTTACCGGTTCTGGTCCCTCAGGAAAGGCCCTGTTCTGCCGCCTCTCCAGCTGATGGCTAGCTCCAGAAAGGTAAGCAATGGCATGTGTGAAGCAAGGTCAGTGTTACAGGACAACGTTAAAGAGGCAGAGCTGTTTAATCTCACCCTCTCCATGCACGCATGCACACGCCTTTCCTGGCCAATGCGGTGCCAGATCTATTTAAGACTTTAAATAGCAAAACCACATCGTATCTTGGAGACCAGGGACAAAATAAGTGGGTTTTTTCCTTTCCCTTTACACATGATGAGAGAGAAATAATGAAAGCCGTTGGAAGGCCTTTTCCCAAGCTCAAATGTCTTGGTTTGGGAACCTGCCTGGCTCTATGGAGCCCAGCTCCGCTTCCACCAGTGTGTATCTGGTGTCCTGCATGGAGCTGGCTCGGAGCATGGAGCCAGCGGTGCCTGAACGGGTCCTGCCGGGGCCATCAGGGCTTGATCCTGAAATCCACAAGGTTGGAAGTGCTGTGGTCTCACTGCCTGTCCCTGTGCGCCCCATTGGAGGTCCCCTTTGTGCTTCCCACTGCGGCCCCTGGGCACAAACACCGTGATGCCCGCTCTGTGGAGCCTTCACTGCCGCCTTCATCCATCCTCAGCATCACGCTTGTCCTGCAGCAGGAGCAGCAGATCCGAGCAGCCGGGATGCACATACTGTGAGTGTTCTCTGCTGTCATCCATTTGCAGAATACCAGTAATGTATTTAAGTAGTGTTGGACAAACGGAAGATGCGCTTTAAAAAGGAATGATTTTAAAGATTTATTCCAAAAGAAGTGATGATTTTTTTATATGTATATAGAGAGAAAGGGTTTTCTGGAATAAATAGAAAGGTACAAAAATATTAAAGAATAAAAGATTGTATCCATCTCTCAATCTTGTGTCTGTTTTCTATTTCAACTTTTGTATTTCAGATGTGACCTGCACTATTTTGTGGATGTGCTTATTTTATTGCTGAGGCTGATATTGCACTTGTGTTGTGAATGCTCCGAGGCCAAGACTGGACAATAAACTTCATTGAACTCAGGCTAGTTTTGTACAGGGTTTAATTTCTCTCTTTTCTCTTCTCTTTGGTAGGAGCAGGAGCTGCTTTGGGGCCGAATGTCAGCTCGGTAGCACTGATGGCCCAGGCTGTGCGTCCCTTGTGGGGCTGCAGGGCGGTGAGTTGCTCCGTGCTGAGCAAAGGAGCCCCAGACACAATGCAGAAGGACTTCCACACTCCCTGACCTTGGCAGGGGGTTGAAGCACAAGACCTCAGGAGCCTGTGTGCAATAGGAAAAGGTTCCTATGGTCCCTCGCGCAGATCTGAAGGCCCTGAGCAAATATTGCCATAAGGCTATCGGGTAAATAAAGCACGGAGCTGTGACCTGCCCAGCCCGCGGTTGCAAAGCAACTGAAGGGCAGAGCTGGGGAAGGGACAGGGCAACCCCGCTTCCCACAGCTCGGGCAGCCCAAAGTCCCCCTCGGGTCAGAGCTGCTCAGCACAGCAACCCCCTTACGTGGTCCCACGCTCCGGTCCATCAGTGCTGCAGAGGGGCTGCAGCCACACGGAGCTGGGGTTATGGGGGCACCGGTGGGATCTCTGGGGCCAGAGCCATGGTGTGAGCCTGCGGGTGATGGGAAGGGGGCCGTGCCCTTCACCCCCTGCCCTGCTGCACCTCGGCCGTGCCCAACCTGCCTGAGTCACGTCCAGGCCCTGACATGGGCAGGTCCCCAGGAAGGACCTGTTTGCTGAACCAGTTCCTCCATCTGCCGCTCTCATTGCTCCAGTCTCACCAGGGCGGTGGCACCTGCCAGCGCTGGGGCCAGGGAATGCACCCAGTGTCCCAGCACACATGGAACCCAGCCTGGGTTGTGTTGGAAGAGGCCCATCACGACATGTTCTATCACTAATAGTCCTTCCCAGGGATCCAGCCAGTGCCCAGATGTTCCCTGCTGCCCAAGCAGCTGTGCCACCCTGCTCCATGTCCCTCCGTGCCTCACAAGGATGCTCAAGCCAGGTCTCTGATTGCTCCCCTGGTCTCCCAGCGTGTCTGCAAAGCAGGGGTGATACCAGCTGCTCGACATGGGATGATTTGTGTGTTGTTAAATCACAGGTCCAGCCTGGTCATTGCATTGCAGCCCACCCTCCTCTGCAGCAGTTTCAGTGCAGTAAAGGAGGAAGCACACTGACTCCAGCTCAGCCCGAGTGGGTGGTAGGAAAACATGTAGGTGAGTGCTTCCTCCTCTTAGACAAGTGTTACAGGATCTGCACCAACCGAGCCAACATCTCAGGCTGATGTTTGACCCAGAACTGGAGCCAAGCTTTCCAAATCTGCCAGGGTGTTCTGAAACTCTTGACTCCAAAACAACACGAGGAGAACACCTCTCTTGTGCAGCCCAGCCCATTCGTGCTGGGGTGTTGAGCTTCTTACACGCAGCCTCACCCCATATGGAGAGCTGACCCTGTGCTGTAAGAAGCATCACGTCTTGCCTCAGTAAGGTTCAGTGATTCAGGGGGGTTATTTACTTATCTGCCCAAGCTTGGTGCTGGGTTTTGGGGTTGGGTTGGAGCTGTTGAAAAGCATCAGTGCTCCTGTGCCCAAACGCACGCACAGCTCCTCAGCCCATCACCCCAGCTCGGGGCATCACTGGGATGATGTGTTGGGATTTCTGAGGGTGTCAGCCTGCATTTGCCATTTGTGGTCTCTTGGGGAGAGAGGGAAACTCTTTGACAGTATCTTTATCTGTATCTTTATCCTGTCTGTAGGGACAGGACAAAGGGAATGGCTTGAACCCGCCAACCCAACCAGGCTGGGATTCAGTGCCGGAGTAGTTGCCCCACTGGCTGAAAGGATTAAACCTGCTGCAGCATCCAGCCCTGCAGAGGCCCTGCCTGCCCTGGGAGCGTGCGAGGACACAGGGAGCAAAGGGAAGGTGTTCCTCGAGCACTGGTGGGATGGCTGTGATGGGCGCAGGGGATGCTGCTGCCGCCCGCAGTCGCGCTGCGCCGCTGTGCCTTCATTCAGCAGCTCCCTGTGCAGCAGGCGCAGGAGTGTGGGTGTTGAATTCATTGCAAGTATAACCTTGATTTCAGTTTGGAAAACAGCCTCAAGTGCCTCCTCGGGAAGCTAATTCGGGTATCGCCTATCCTGGTCCTGTGCCTTGCATTTCTATGAGGTGCCTCTGAGGAGCTGGGCTCCAGAGCGTGCAGCC